TTTTAAAGAATATACATTAAGACCAGTATTACTTGAAACCAGTAATATCTCAATTTTTTCCAAAACTGTACTTATGTGACTTGTTCTCCAAGACTTCCAAATGAATAGGTTGTTTCAAAAAGTGACCAACTCTAGCAAAAAAAAGTCGAAAAAACTGAAAAAACCTTACTTGGTGGAAATTTTTCGTTGAATGGGAAACGTTCTTGGCGCATGGTATTCAGTTCCTCAAAAGAGCCTCGAAACCAAAAATATGAGCCTTTTTGGTCCTTTAATAGTACAAAAATAGCGCACATAAACTTTTGAGTAGAGCACTTTTTGGGGGAAAAAAAAACTTGAACGCGTGCCCATGTTTCTAATGTAAAATGCAAAAAAAGTAAAAAGAAATAAGTGCGTTATTTGGCCTGTAAACTTTGTTAATTGCTACCATTTTAATTCGTTTTAAAAATCCTCGTTTAAAGCTTTATAATTTTTCTTGGACAGCCCGGTTACCCACCGTTCCTGGTGATGACGTGGGTTCCAGTGTTGGACTACAATATCACCGCGTATCCATTCTTTCTCTCGAATCCGACTGATATGCTCACTCAATCCAAGTTCCCATGGATCAACGGTGCCACAACTTACGACGGTTCTTACTTTACCGGCCGTGAGTATGACCACTATACTGCCGTCCTAAGGAAGAACGCCGTGTGAGCCTTCAGAAGTTGCCAAATTTCCTCTCAGATCTTTTTTTTTAGAAAGCTATGAACATTATTCCTTGAAATTTTCAGAAAACTGTGAGTCAAATTACGAACAAACTTCTCTGAAAAATAGGAAGAAAAATATTTCAAAAATCTGTAAATTCGTGATTTGTCAAAGGATATTTGGCAACGTCAGGAGGCTTATACGGCGTACTTCCTTAGCGCGGCAGTATAGGTATTATTACTTTCAAAATCTAAATTATTTTCATTCGCCTTCACAAATAGCCTTTTGTGTAATACTTAATTCATTTGTTTTTTTAGTCAGAAATGGCTTCATGACCTACCGTCAAAATCTATTCTTCATACATATAAGCCGAAGCAGAATTCACGAAAAAAAGAGCACAGGGTTGTTGGGTGATATGAACATTTTCACTTAATTGAATCAGTGTAAACGAAAACACACCAACTCGTAAAAATGAAAATCATCAAGATACACGCAAAACCGCACAGTGGTTGAAAAAGTTAGTACAAGAAAAAGAAGTTTGGTGCCGAAAGACAGGTGCTTAAGGACACTTTAAATGTCCCAGTTGGAACGGATGCGTTAACTTCAATGACCTTAATGTAAACTGACTCTCTTGAATGAAAATTGAGCACTTTTGAGTTACCGAGTTGGTATGTTTTCGTTCGCACTGATTCAATTGTGGTACTACCCCAGTAAATTAGGTTACTATTGCAACACTACTCCAACTTTAGTTGCGGCACTACCACAGATTGAAAATCTCCATATCATCCAACAAATTGGAGTGGTACCACAATTTTAGGGGATAACCTCCAAACAATTTTTCCCGGGACGTTTTCAATCGGATACTCCGACAACTACCCCAACTTACTCTGATACCCCAACTACTCCGATAACTACCCCAAATTGAGTCGCGATACTACCAAAATCAATTGAAAATCTCCATATCATGCAACAACTTGGGGTAACAGCACAATTTTAGGGGATAACCCCAAAAATTTTTTCCCGCGACGATTTCAATACGATGCTCATTCTTTATTTTTTTTATTTTTTAATGTTCCCAGATATTTACGGGTATCCGAAATTCGTTGAGCAAATCAAAGCTAATCCAGAACGGTATCTACCGCAGCTACTGTTTCTACCACAGTACATACCTGAAGGGGACGTCCCAAAATGCATGGCCAGAATTTCCGACTTCTACTTTGGTTTCCCGCCGCAAGTTACTCAAAAGGCACTCACAATTGTAAGTGTTGGCGGGCACAAGTTGGGTGTACATTTTTAAATAAAGTCTCGAACTTTGGTTGGTATTTCACATCTCGGTTTTTTATGAAGTTTTGGCGAATTTTATTTTTATTTTAATGTTTGCCGGGTATTGACTCTGTTACTTATCGTTAAATATCTAACTTGACTATCCAAAAATTATTGCATCCTCTGCTTTTTTCTGCGCGGAATGTCTTGAAACATTGCAACCTTCTTTGAAATTAAATATTCACAATATGGGTACCTATTGATGTATTAATCATCATCACGGCCTTTAATATCGGCGGCAAAAATGTGTGTCTTTTCCTAGTTGTTTGTGATCCTATTAGAGTAGTTGCACCTACTATGACGAATAGAAGAAAATTATATATGAGATGCTGCTCTGAAACTTTTTAAACATAATGAGAACAAAAGAAGCTAAAAAACAGCGAAAAGTGTGTCCAAATCACAAAAAAAGTTCAACCTTGAGAGAATTTGGTTTTCCACATACTGTCGCTACATATCATTAAGGATTGAAAATTCCAGCGGAGATTTAAGTTTTCTAAGGTTGACTTTTTTTTTCAGCTTGTTTCATACGTTTATATTTTTTGTTGCATATTTCAGCTGATGACGGATGCGTATTTCTACCAGCCTGTGATACAAACGTCACCGCTCAACGGAGGACCAACATACGCCTACCAATATGCATTCCCTTACCGTCATTCAACTTGGAACAACGTCTACGGTCCAAGAGACGTTATCACAGGTAAACGCCTGCAGCTGTGCGCGTGATGAAGTTGAATAAAAAACGGAAAAATAAGCTGGAAATACACTGGAAATAAAAGTCTCTTGGATCCAGAGTCCAGACTCTTAAAAAGATTGACAAGAAAAAAATCTCTTGATTTAATCGGATTTTTGCTTGAATCAAAAGGAAATCCGCTTGAATTAAGAAATTTGGCTCTCGATTCAAGCAAAAATCCGATTGAATCAAGAGTATTTTTTCTTGTCAAATTTTTTGAACGTCTGGACTCTGGATCCAAGAGACTTTTTTTCAGTGAAGGTAAAACAGCAAGAAAAATAAACTGGGAGTACTTTGTAAAACTCAAGTGTGGATTGCCACGGCAACATTCGTAACTAATAACATAAATTACACCGAAAAAATGAAAAGGCCCTAATGACGCAGAGGAGTGGCTAAAATACGAGGGTCCAGGAGGTCTTAATACCTTATCGCCTGAAATTTCTAAGGGGAAAGGGGGGCGTCAGCAATTTTCAGGATTTTCTAATTTTCTAAACTTTTACATCAGCATCAATCAATCTTGCCTAGCACTTAAACCTTCTTCGTGACTTCCGATGATATTTGCGCACTAAATCCTGATGCAAAACCATGAACTGTAGGTATTGCCAAAGTACCGTGTTCTTTTCAGTACTGTTTGATTCATTTATTCAAGAAATGGACGCATTTCTATCAAACGGAGCTATGTTCATTATAAAGTGAGCCTTGTTATGCACATATGCTTATGGGTCTCAGGGCTCATGTCTTAATGCACATAGTTCCGTTTGGTAGAAATACGTCCAAATGGCAGTTGAAGGCATACATTCTGCTGCTTCATAGAATCACCTCGGCCTTCCGGCCTAAGTATCACAAGCTCCATACGGCCTTTTAAAAGTTCCACCGCCGTTTCATTTTATTATAGAGAAATTGTTGGTTGAATATGTTTGAATATTTCACTGAATTTTATCGTCAGCATAAAAAAATTTTCCCGGAAGGCGATGGCGTGGACGTCCTGTGAAAGTTTGGCGACAAGGGGTGGAGGAGGAGATCAGAAGGTGTCAATTGCCTGATGATGGGAGGATAGGGGGCAATGGCGATTGGGCGTCGCAGAGCGCGAGGCGGCGCTATAAAAGCGGCTTTATGTATGTATAAAACAATTTTGCGAACAGCTTTGTTGAACAACATAAAAAAAATAAAATGGCGGCGGAAATTTTGAGTCTTCGTATAGCGCTTGTGATACTTTGGCCGGTAGGTGACGATCTGGAAATGAGATACACAACTAAGATCTTTCAGGGTACGATTTTCTTTTCAGTGCAAAATTTGTTAGAGTTTATTAATGCAGTTCGGGCAGAATTATTTTTTATTTACTCGATTTCATTTTTTCAAAGTTAAGAGGAAGATTATGTCCTCAACTGTAACCAAGATTGTGAACACCAAAAATGTATGCACATCTGCAACGATTGAAGTTTTGTGATTATTAAAATCTTAATTTTTAATTTCCTGCAGAGAAACCTGGCCACTCGGACATCTTGCTAAACTTTTTTGAAACTTCTAAATACTTCAATCGGTCGACAGACACCCAGACTGAAGTTGATGTTTCAGAGAGACTTGTCGACCTCTTCACTAGTTTCCTAATCTTTGAGTAAGTGTTTTAGTGACAAAATTTAAAGTTAACTAAAAGTTCCATATCCCCTCTCTACTATTTTACAATATTTTTGCTGACTTTTCCCATTTTGCACAAAGAAAGAAAATACAAAATTTGGCACACAGCTTTACAAGTAGCTTAAACAAATTTTCCGGCATTCAGTATTTCAATGAAGTATTTTTTCCGGTGTCTTAAGTTTCCCCGTTTCCCGAGTTCACTATGAGCCCTTACCCTAATTGAATGATACTAAAAAATATATTTGTCGTAGTTATTTGACGTGTAGACTACAAGACTTGGCAAAAGGCAAAATATGCTATCGAAAATGAGTCATCAAGCATCAATACATGGAGTACATTGATTGATCGCCAATACATCGATTGATTTTGATGAAATGGGACTAACAAGGGGAACTTTCAAGGCTGCCGTCTTCGATCGGGCTGAAACAATTTGTAGGACCTCTTTGGATGAATCCATTAGGACCATTTTTTAGTTGCTCCTAATGCGCCCTGGAAACACCCCCCCCCAAAAAAAACAAAACAAAAAAATCCGAAAAGTCCGGTTTTGAGCGCTGATTTATACTCTTGTTTTTCGCGTTAAATTCAACCTCGTCTGGACACCCAAAAAGAAAGCTAAAACGCGAATGCGTTTTAGCTTTTTGGATATGCAATACGCGTGTCCATTGAGTACAAATAGTTGCGTGCAGTGTCACTTAATAAGGTGATTCGACGGTTGCCATTTTTTGTGTCAGGGCGACGTGCGATATATCGCATCAATTCGTTCCATAATTTCAGTTACCTGTCATATTTTTCGAATATTCAGATCGCACTTCTATTGTCATAAGACTAAAAAATTCATGTACCAAAAAACAAAAACGTATTAAAGTCAGGATTTCTTCAGAGGGAAAATAACGCATTCGAGAGCTGTTTCGATATCAGTATCGAATGCGATATTTCTCCTCTAAAAAACCCGGCCTTTGTTACGTTGAATTTCTTTTTCAAAGGTACATGAAGTTTTTAATCTCATGACAAAAGAAATGCGATCTCAAAATTCGAAAAAAAAAATGACATGTAGTTGAAATTATGGAACGAATTGATGCGATATATCGCACGTTGCTCTGACGCAAAAAATGGAAACCGTCGAATCACCTCAACTTCGCGTTGCATCCGTTAGCCGCTCCGACCTTCTCACTGTAGCTATATCTTTTGCACCAATTTAGACGGATTTATGCAGAATCAACGACAGAGCACAGGAGATAATTTCATGAGCCGCCCTGCGCTGCGCCGCGCTTTCCGCAGCGCGCATGGCACACGATCCGCCTTTATTCATCTACCGTTGAAAGTTCACTTATTATTTCACACGATCAGTGTGTAATTTTAAAAGTTGAAGATTAAAAAAAAAATTTAAAAAAAAAAAAAAAAATTACACGACATGCGATTTTCTCGGCCAGGGAGCTCTCCCCGCAATCGTTCACCACCCACACGCGTCGGGAGCGCCGCGACGTGCTGCCAGCGCGAAACGCGCACCGACGCCTACAAACCTAAAGGACTACTTCACGCATTGCGCAATGCTTGAAGTATCCCCTTAGGTTTGTAGGCGTCAGTGTGCATTTTGCGCAATGCTTGAAGTATCCCCTTAGGTTTGTAGGCGTCAGTGTGCATTTTGCGCAATGCTTGAAGTATCCCCTTAGATTTGTAGGCGTCAGTGTGCATTTTGCGCAATGCTTGAAGTATCCCCTTAGGTTTGTAGGCGTCAGTGTGCATTTCGAGCTGGTAGCGGCAGCATGCCGCGCCATGGCGTGCCATAAACTTGCCTACAATTAATAGGTCAGGGTATTGAAATGTAGGCAATTTGACATCAAATTCGAGATCAGTGACTCAAAAAAACAACAATTACGAAACTTCCGTGATCTTTCAGTCATTATTCGACTTATTTCTTCCTATTCTTGAGTTTTGGACCATAGTGCGCCGCGGGCGGCAGCGCTCATGAAATTCTCCCCTGTACTCAGTCGCAGAATCAAGGGGACTGCATTCCAATTAAATTTCATAAATCAGCCCGTTAAAAAGAGTGTGTTCTTGTGTAAATGCAAAAAAAATTATTTGAAAATTTCAGATAATATCTCATCCTGAAATCTTATCCATGAACTTTGCGTTTTCAGGGGACCCACCCAGGAGAATGTGACGTGGAACACTGTGGGATCAGAGCAGAATTTCACTTACGAGTATTTAGACAAACAATTCACTGAGCGACAAAATCCATATCCGGATAGAACCGAATTTTGGAGACACCTCCGTAGTGACTTTCCCGGGCTATACTAAGAAATATTAATTACTTATTAATTCATTAATTAAGTAATTATTGTATAAGAAAAAAAAATTAAGGCTGTGTTCGAAATATTTATTCACCATCACAGAAGAGGTCGAGGTACGGCAAAATTCGCAATTTCACAATAGTCACGCGATAAAGTCACGTGGTTTTGCACTTTAGCCACCAATCTGAATCTCTCACGCAACCACGCGCCGCAGCACTATTTTGCAAAAGAAAAAATGAGAATTTATGAAAATTTGATTTAATGTAGTATTTCATTATCCAAAAGTCATCTCCTTACTAGGACCCTATTTAAGTTGCAAAATTGATGAATAGAATCCAAAGAGCGACGCCAAGAATGGCACAATTTGGGCCAGAAGGGATTTTTCTGAAACCGGGCCGAACATACATCGAATATTTTAAGGATAGAAATAAAACCAAATATTCACCAATGACAATTTAAAAAGATGAGTCAAAAGGAGAAAGTAATAACATTTCATTTAGAAAATGAGCAACCATAACAATACCTCCTTCTCTCTCAATTTCTCATTTCCATATTGTCAATACAACTGTACATTAAATGTACATACCGACTAAAATATAACGCTTGAACCAAGTCACCGTTGCTTATTTTTAGTGTAGGCGTAAACTACTGGACAAAAAAGGTGCGCGGACAAAAAATCGTTGACAAAATGTCCTTAAACCGTTCTTGTAAAAAGAGCGACGCCAAAAACGACCGTTTTTTGGCACAATTTGGGCCAGAAGGGATTTTTCTGAAACCGGGCCCAAACGATACCTTATGATACCCTAAAACTCTGGTTAAAATTTTAGCTTGAGTATACGCACGGTTTTTGAGAAATGAGGGGGCAAAGTTGCCAAATCGCCATCATTCTGGACAGCATTTCTACAGCAAAAAAACGGGAAAAATGGACGAAAAAGTTACACTTTTGATGAATTTCGGCTGTAAATGTTCTTATCGGGCCCCCAAGCATTTAACTGTGTTCAGTTTCAAAAATTTTGATTGCACAGTGGTCCAAAGTGGGGAGAAATCGGCGACAAATCAGGATTCTTTGTCAAATTTTTATAAATGGAAGTAAAATTGTCGGTCTGCTGCAGTTTTCATGGCTAAGAATGTTCATGTCGGTCCTCAATGCATGAAATTGTGTTCAGCTTCACAAATTTACATCGCACAGTGGTCAAAAATGAGGGAATTAGTGGACAAATTAAGATCCTCTGTGAAACTTTTTAAAAATGAACTGAAACTGTTGGTCCCCAGTAGAGTTTAGATCCCGGAAAAATTCATGTATTTAATTTTCTTAATTATTCCTGCATGTCAGACCGTATTGTCTATAGAACGTTGTTATAGAATAAACTTTGTAGCATTATCTCAATAAAATATACAAACTTTCAGAAATTTAAAAAAAGAAGGAAAAATAGAGAGAAAAAATTAAAAAATGATTTAATAGTCCAAAAAAAAATTTAAGAATTTTTCCAGAGTTTTAGGGTATCATAAGGTATCGTTTGGGCCCGGTTTCAGAAAAATCCCTTCTGGCCCAAATTGTGCCAAAAAACGGTCGTTTTTGGCGTCGCTCTTTTTACAAGAACGGTTTAAGGACATTTTGTCAACGATTTTTTGTCCGCGCACCTTTTTTGTCCAGTAGTTTACGCCTACACTAAAAATAAGCAACGGTGACTTGGTTCAAGCGTTATATTTTAGTCGGTATGTACATTTAATGTACAGTTGTATTGACAATATGGAAATGAGAAATTGAGAGAGAAGGAGGTATTGTTATGGTTGCTCATTTTCTAAATGAAATGTTATTACTTTCTCCTTTTGACTCATCTTTTTAAATTGTCATTGGTGAATATTTGGTTTTATTTCTATCCTTAAAATATTCGATGTATAATATACCCTATATATGTGTGTAGGTACTTTTTTTATGTTTTTAATTTTTCTTTACGAAATTATTACTTCATTTTGAAAACATTTATATTTTTAAAACGTGGCAAATATTTGTAAAACCTTTTCCAAGCGACATTAATCTCAATGAGCCGCAGTTGCGCCGATAGAAACTGCAAAAATGAATAAAAGAGGGGAAAAAACCAAGAGGCACGCAATCTTTGGTTTTAACCCATTTGTACATCGATCTTTTGGAGTCAAATACGTCAAATTTTGAGCGTTTGGTTGCGCGTACACCTCGCTGCAGCACAATAAAAGCACAAAAATGTAAAAGAAAAAAATTAAAGTGCTTTAGAAATCATTAAATTTGACACGGAACCACCAATATTTAAAAAAAACACACATTATATTATTATTCTCCTTTGATAAATTGATACATATTTTTTCCCCATCAATTTAAATGAGAATAATCAATGCAGAGTGTGCAAACATTTCAAAATCATGAGTTAAAAAACGCTGACTATGCGAGTATAAATATTAAAGCTTAACAGAGCGGAGCGGCGTGCTGCCAGCGCGAGAGGCTCACTGGCGCCCTCAAACCGAAGTGGATACTTCACACAATGCACAATGCTTGAAGTATCCACTTAGGTTTGTAGGCGCCAATGCGCGTTCCGTGCTGGCCGCCCGCCCGCCGTGCCTGAAGCAATTATTTCACAACAGAGGTGTTGCACAGTATTATACGAAATTGAACGTATTAAGAATGACAGGCATCCTTTAAAAGTACAGATCTTTCCTCGCAAAATAAATCAAGACACTTATCGTACACTGGAAAAATCTAAGAGCCTTTAGCTGAGGCAAATATAGAGGTTTAGCCGGTTCAGGTATAACAAGGTGGGAAAATCTTGAAAGATAATTAAGTCCTGTTGCACCAAAGAGGTGTAGAGAGTTTTAGTGAATTTTGTCTCATGGAATTGACGCTCCCCCATTTTTACCAAAACTCTCAACTGTATATTATTCTCCGTTGGACCAAACAGACAAAACAAAAAAACAAGGAAACCCTCATTCTTCCACGACATTATGCATTTTCATCCAAAAACGTCGTGAGCAATTGTCGTTTGTATTTACATGTGTGTGTTAACTTTGGGTCTCAACTGGCACGTGGACCAAAACTCCCGTGCCGAAAAAACGCGTGGACGTAAATTACTGGAAAAAACAGGTGCGCGGACACAAAATCGATGACGAAATGGACTACATTTTGCAATTTGGAACCATAAATTCTAGCCCGGTTCAAAAACAACGTAAACGCCATTAGATTCCCTGTACACATAAGTGTTTTTCCAGAAGAACCAGAATCTATAGTTCCAAATTGCAAAATGCAGTCCAAATGTCCTAAAACCCTTTTCTTTGGACTCATTTGGATTACATTTTGCAATTAGCAACAATGATTTCTAGCTCATCCGTGAAAACACTCATGTGCGCAGGGAAACTAATGGTACATTCGTTGTTTCTAAATTGTGCCAAGAATTGCAGTTCCAAATTGCAAAATGTAGTCCATTTATATGAATAGGCACTACACGAAAAACAATGGACCACTAGACAAGGTACGAATTTCAGCATTCTGATACATGCTTCTTAACCAAAATTTCACGTAGTACTTCATTTTGAAACCTTTTCCAAGCGACATTATCTCAATGAGCCGCAGTTGCGCCGATAGAAACTGCAAAAATGAATAAAAGAGGGGAAAAAACCAAGAAGCACCCAGTCTTTAGTTTTAACCCATTTCTACATCGATCTTTTAGAGTCAAATACGTCAAATTTTGAGCGTTTGGTTGCGCGTATACCTCGCTGCAGCACAATAAAACCACAAAATGTGAAAGAAAAAATTAGAGTTCTTTGGATATTATTAAATTTGACACGGAACCACCAATATTTAAAAAACACACATTATATTATTATTCTCCTTTGATAAATTGATACTTATTTTTTTCCCGTCAATTTAAATGAGAATAATCAATTCAGAGTGTGCAAACATTTCAAAATCATGAGGTAAAAAACGCTGATTATGCGGGTATAAATATTAAAGCTTAACAGAGCGGAGCGGCGTGCTGCCAGCTCGAGAGGCTCACTGGCGCCCTCAAACCTAAGTGGATACTTCACGCATTGCTCAATGCTTGAAGTATCCACTTAGGTTTGTAGGCGCCAATGCGCGGTTTGCGCTGGCCGCCCGCCCGCCGTGTGGAGGCGCCTGCCTGAAGCAATTATTTCACAACAGAGGTGTTGCACAGTATTATACGAAATTGAACGTATTAAGAATGACAGGCATCCTTTAAAAGTACAGATCTTTCCTCGCAAAATAAATCAAGACACTTATCGTACACTGGAAAAATCTAAGAGCCTTTAGCTGAGGCAAATATAGAGGTTTAGCCGGTTCAGGTATAACAAGGTGGGAAAATCTTGAAAGATAATTAAGTCCTGTTGCACCAAAGAGGTGTAGAGAGTTTTAGTGAATTTTGTCTCATGGAATTGACGCTCCCCCATTTTTACCAAAACTCTCAACTGTATATTATTCTCCGTTGGACCAAACAGACAAAACAAAAAAACAAGGAAACCCTCATTCTTCCAAGACATTATGCATTTTCATCCAAAAACGTCGTGAGCGATTGTCGTTGTATTTACATGTGGGCCAATTAACTTAGGGTCTCAACTGGCACGTGGACCAAAACTCCCGTGCCAAAAAAACGCGTGGACGTAAATTACTGGAAAAAATAGGTGCGAGGACAAAAAATCGTTGACGAAATGTCCTATAATCTACAAGAATATTTCTGCGCAATTTTCCCTATTAATTTTGCTGATTTGTAAGGATACGTGGTTTCGCACGTTAGTCATCGATAAACATTATTTACGCAACCACGCAAAAAAGGAAAGAAAAGAATGAAATTTATTTTCTGTGAAAAGAAAAAATGAAAAGTTAGAAAAATTTGTCTCAATGTCATCATTTGTGTCATGTCTTCATTGTCCAGAATCAGCTCCTTAAAGGGACTCCACTTAAGGTTGCAGAATTGATGAATAGAATCCAAATTTTTACAAGAATCTTCCTGCGCACTTTCCCCCTTAATTTTGCTGATTTGTAATGATACGTGATTTCGCACTATAGCCATCAATATACGTTATTTATACGCAATCACGCACCGTATAGCACTGAGGTAAAAACAAGAAATGAAAGTTAAAGAAAATTTGTTTCAATTCAAAAGACATGCCCATAAAGGGACTCTATTCAAGGTTGCAAAATAGATGAATAGAATCCACATTTTGATACGAATATTTTTGCGCACCCCCTCTCCCTTTATTTTGCTGATTTTTG